ACGGCTTGCATGGAAGGCATCGCTCCCCTGGAACCTCTCCGCCGCCAGCAAAGAAGACGGCGCGCTGAATGTGCGACCGCCCGGCGGTGCCTCGCAATCAAGACGCGCGCACGGTCACCTGTTGCGCGCCGCGGCCTCCCCGCGCGACTCCTGCAGATACAAGATGCATTCCAGCTTACCCGGGCCGCCGTCCGCCGCGCGCAACCGCGCCCTCTCTCCACGTGCCTACGTCGCGGCACCCCACGCGAGGCGCGGCCGGTCGCAGTCCATTCGCAGTCACTGAGGTGCGGGGGGATGGCCCGTGCCGGCGGGGTAGCGCGAATCGCGCGGCACGCCGCCCATTCGGGACGCGCTGCCCCCGCGCCCGGGCAAGGGCCGCGCGCCCCGGCCGTGCGTCCTCTGAGCCGCACGAAGCGTCGCTGCATCCACGCCCGCAAACGCTTCCCGTTCAAACCAGGCGCGACCCACAACGCAAGCACAACGCGGTCCTTCTTCCCGCCCGTGTGCAGCGATGCGCGCATCTCTGCCGCCGCCCGCGCAGCCCGCCCGAAGCGCGCGCGCAGCCGCCTCCGTTGGCCGCGCCCTAACCTCGACGTGCCATGTGTAACGCTCTGGTCATCTCAGATCGGTAGGAGCAACAGGTCATGGCTTTTGGGAAAACCAGGTTGCAAGCGAGCGCGAGCGCAGTTGTCCACGATGAGGGGCATAGCCGTGGTGCGCAAGTGAGAGGATTGACCACGACAGTAGCGAATGCTGAAAGGGAAGGAAGGTGGCCTCGAGGCACCTGGACGGGACCGCAATTCCGTGGTGGTCTATGGCTTAGCAAAGGGAACAGCCCTATTAGACGATCTGTTTACAGATCGTGTAACAAGGGTACCTTTTGTTGCTACCCCTTGCACTGCTTGGCTCAGACGAGGGCTACACGCGGGGCGATGACGTGCGGGCCGAAAGGGCGAGGCACATGAGCGGGCGTGCCTGGTTCGGGCGTGCCTGGTTCTGAAAGGCGCCGGCGGCTCCGCCACCGGGCCGGAACGGAGGAGGATAAAACGCCAAAAGAGCAGAGGGTTAGGAAGAATAAAGTCAGCGCACCCAGAGGAGACCTCTGCAGTGTGACTTTGCGGGTGGTGTGCGAGTCGTCGTTAGGTCCTCTTTCCTTTTTTTCCTTTCCTTTCGCCCCGCGCCAGGGTCTTGCCCACGAGTCGTTACTTATTCCTCCCTCCCCCCCTCTCCCTTGCGCGCCCGCGGCCCGCTCGACGCAATCGATATCGCGCACGCCCATCTCCGCGGGCGGCAGGGTTTCGCCCGTCAGTACACCTCTGATCACAGTATTTAACCTGAGCCAGGTTAATTTTGAAGCTCATATTTCCAGATGCACTCATCAAATACTGTAATGTAGACCATGTTAATTTTGAATCCAGGCCAATTCCTGTGGAATTCCCATATAATCTGGACCATTTTTATTTTTATTTTTTGGTGATATATTTAACGTGGACGCAGTCATCATACGCATTGCCACGACTCTTCATTTGATTGGAGCACCATCAAAATTATTGCGATGTTCCGCAATAAAACTCCCCAATGGCCTGCAGCTCATGGAACAGCTGCTTTATTGTTCCTCCCACAAACCGTTTTAATTGAGGGCCAAACCGGTTCGAATCATCTGTAATACTGTATTAGCCTTCCCCAATGGCTCAAATTGAAACACATTTTATATATTAAAATTAAAATTGCTTCCAGCCCACCCATTCTCTTTGTTTCTGTCTCAACTGACGCGCACTGGTGTCTTTCGATCGCCACACAGCCTCTCATGATTGTTGATGAATCATAATGCCAGCAATGTTCAAAACATTTCTCCAATTGCCCGTGACAATAACTGCAGCAAGATGGCTTTATTTGAAACAGGAATTTTCGAGTCAAGGATTACTCAGGAGATGCATGCTGTCCGATAGACACAATAAAGCCGACGCCGCAGCCATTGGAACAACGGCAGTGGCGCCCATGGAATCAATGTTGAGTGTTGGTGTATTCGCTGTGTATTCGTGACCATCTTTCAGCTTCTTTTGCGCTTTGCGCGCTTGATGTTTCTCGTCCCTTTGTCGCTTCTTCGTCAATCTTTCAGCGGCATTTTGTGCAGTACAAATTCTGCGATCTTCCTCGCGTTTCTGTCGTGCTTCATGCTTTGCCTTTTGAGATTCGGCCTTTTCCAAAGCGCGGATTTGTTTAGCATTTTCTTTTTCTTTTGCTTCGTCAGCAGCCTTACGAATTTCGTTCTTCCTTATTTGCACGGCTTCGTCTGCAGTGACTTACTCAGCGCTCTTACCACAAAATGCTATTGCCAGAGACCCATTTCTGTCTGACTTTCCGCGTGGTACTGGCTTTATACCCATCAGGACATTGTTAACCGTTTGCCTTGTTTTGAGATTCATGGTCATTTTCTGTAAGGCAGCAGGTCCGGGGAGCCCAGACGCTAAAATTTCTCTAACTTCGAGGAGTGTTTCTTCGTCAGTATGCCGTGTTTTAAGAACAGGCCGAAAATCGTAGCGCCTATTGCCTCCTGACCTTAAACGTGACTTAATGCTGTCACCCTTACCGAATTTTTTCAGAAAACGAAAGTCCATAGGCCACAACCCAATTTCAGAGAAAGACTTTCTCACAATCTCATTAGAAATAGAGGCATGGCCGGCGGTACCAAGCTTCAGCTTAAAACCCATGCCGTGTGTATTAACAAGGGACATTCTAAGTAATGAGTCTCGGGTTCGCCGAGCTGTAGTCTGAAATATTTTGTTCACAAGTCTGTCACACGGCTGCAGAAAGTGTGTCGTGTTAGCCCGTAGCATTATGACCTCAATATTGAGGCTAACACACAACTCAATCCATTCCATTCCTTTTCTTGATGCATGCCCGTCCAAGAACAGCAATACACGTTTTTCGTGTGGTACTAACTTACGAATGTAGCCGTTAAAGTGCTGGATAAAAACAGGTAGCATTTCCATATTCATGGAGTCCTTTTCGGTACAACGGATGACCGTGTCACTCAGCATCCATCTAGGAGACGCAAGCCAGTGTACATCCCCATTCTCTCCTGTGAAGCTGCTTTTGTCCAGAGGCTTTAACCAGCTCTGCATTGCGTTTTTTCCTGCAGCTATGAAAAACGGTGGGGCAATTTTTCCGGATGCCGAAGTAACTATCGTTGCCGTAAGATGTTTACGAGAGCTATTTTGTGTCGCTGTGAATCCCCCATGGTTCGTTTTCGAGGATCCAAATTTTTTCTCCCTCTCACCAAACTCTCCGTCAATATGTGTCTCGTCCATATTCCAAATTAAGTCTGGATCATCAAGAATTCCAGGGTAACGCCGATCTACTTGGCGTAAGGCGCCAACAAAAGACTTCACATGGTCATAGTTCTCCCCTTTGAGACGCGTGATGTGTTTGTTTTCACCACTTCGATATGTTATGGCACGTTTTAAGGCACGGTAAGTGCGTATAGCATCCATGGAGGGAATGCCTTTGTTATATCCTGGTCTGCCGTCTGCAGCAATTTTGCCCAGGATTGTTCTCAGTCCCGCTGCTCCAACAGCGAAACCATTTGCTGCAGCATACATGAGCCGATTATTTACCATTTTAGCCTCCGTTTCCGTCGAGGTTGGTTTCTTTCCCTTTCGGTGTTGCAAAGGGGTGAGAAGTTTGGCAAGAGAGACTTTATCTGACCGTTTAATGCAGCCCTTAATTCGCCATGCAGTAGTCACAGAGATGGAGCATTGCTTGGAAACGTCACGGACTGTTTTCCCTTTCTCAAAAAGGCCAACTGCCAGCTGTCTGTTCTTCTGCTCTTCTTTTGCTTTAGCGACACGCTTCTTCGCTTGCTGCGCCTGCTTTCGCATTGAAAGAGGCATTTTGGGGGTGTTGGAACGTTGGCTGGTGGTAATTTGGACCGTCTCGAGGGAATGGAGCGCCAAAGTTGGACATGGATGAGGAGATGGGCTTGGGAGCAGTGGTTTTTGTATTTGGGCGCGCAACTTTGCGACACTGTACCACAGCAATGTTTCTCGGGGATTTCGCAGTGCAATCTTGGCACCTGTGGACAGCCTGTGGGGTCTCAATGGGATGTTTTATTCGATAATGTCTATTGATTGGCAATGTTTCAATTAAAGCCGGTTTTCAATTTGAGCCATTGGGGAAGGGAAGCCGGCAATATGATAAGCGGAGGAGGAGGGCTGGTCACAACAATTAATCTGGACCATATTAATTTTGAATCCATACTATTTTGTGTGTCTAGGTTAAATACTGTGATCAGTGTAGATGGAAGCTCAAATTTATGGTTAAATTGAAAAGTAAAATTGAAGAAAAATTTTACTAAAGTTGGCCTCGTTTGCCACTATTCTTCTCACACGTGTGGACCTGTGCACGTGTGAACATGTACACGTGTGAGGGTGTACCCCTTGCCTCTCAACATTGAGATTCGCGCCCTGCCTTGAGCCGGTCTGCAACAACTTCTCAACACACCGTTGATTCACTAATACAACTACCTCTACATCTTTACTCGCACGCAACTGACGCATCTGATGGACAGATGCCTGCACATTATTGCACAAGGATAATATAGTGAGCACAAGAGCGCAGCTGACTGCTGAGAGACAGCAATATGCTTTCATTTTGTGAGTTAACCTCCATGTTGAATCTGTGGGCACCAAACCCACGTGGGTCATTGCATCACAATATCTTCTGCGTGCTGACAGCCTGCAAGGTGCCGCCTCTATCGCTTCTGTCCGAACGCTTGACACCGCCGTGATCTTTTCCTAATCCTTTGCGATGGAACACTTATTACACGTCAGGTCCCCTCCCATCCCTAGACTTGTTTACTGGGTGATGAAAGGGAAGCAGGTCCGTACTTCATACATACACATACATGGACTGCAACCTCCATCAAGCAAGCATCTTAAGCATTCATAACAAAAAAACCCTCCCCACTACTACCGCGCACAGTTGCAACGCATTACTGATGTCTCGGGCGCCAAGCTTTTATCGCGTTTCGCAATTTAGACCACTAGCTTCATGATAGCAACCAGATGGCCCACCCCTGCAACTACGACCCCGTGATCATGATCTATCTGCAAGTCTTTCGGATTGTCCAACTGGGCCAACACAGCCTCAGACCCATCCTCTCGCCTCTGCACAACTCCTCCGTCCCTTGAAAATATTTGTGATGTTCGTCCTGCGAGAGAAGCAGCACGCAAGTCTCCCGTCCTCAGGAACCGACTCGTGATTTCTTGCCAATCCTCTACTCTCCCGGTATGAAGTGTGATCCCACTCTCCACGTCCCACACCCGCACGCTCTTGTCCTCCGATCCAGATACCACACGTCTTCCGTCCCCACTCATCGCAACGCTCTCCACCGAATCGGTGTGTCCAACTAACGCGTCCCCGACATGTGCTCCTGTCTCCACGTCCCACACCCGCACGCTATTGTCCCGGGATCCAGATACCACACGTCTCCCGTCCCCACTCATCGCAACGCTCTTCACCGAATTCGTGTGTCCAACTAACGCGTCCCCGACTTGTGCTCCCGTCTCCACGTCCCACACCCGCACGTCGCTGTCCCACGATCCAGATACCACACGTCTTCCGTCCCCACTCATCGCAACGCTCCACACCGAACCCGTGTGTCCAACTAACGCGTCCCCAACTTGTGCTCCTGTCTCCACGTCCCACACCCGCACGCTCTTGTCCTGAGATCCAGATATCGTACGTCTTCCATCCTCACTCATCGCAACGCTCCACACCGCATCGGTGTGTCCAACTAACGCGTCCCCAACTTGTGCTCCTGTCTCCACGTCCCACACCCGCACGCTCTTGTCCTCCGATCCAGATACCACACGTCTTCCGTCCCCACTCATCGCAACGCTCTCCACCGAATCGGTGTGTCCAACTAACGCATCCCCGACTTGTGCTCCCGTCTCCACGTCCCACACCCGCACGCTTTTGTCATACGATCCAGACACCACGCGTCTTCCGTCCCCACTCATCGCAACGCTATACACAGTATCCGTGTGTCCAACTAACGCGTCCCCGACTTGTGCTCCGGTCTCTACGTCCCACACTCGCACGCTCCAGTCCCACGATCCAGATACCACACGTCTTCCGTCCCCACTAAACGCAACGACAACCACTGGACCCTTGTGTCCAACTAACGCGTCCCCAACTTGTGATCCTGTCTCCACGTCCCACACCCGCACGCTATTGTCCCACGATCCAGATACCACACGTCTTCCGTCCCCACTCATCGCAACGCAAACCACTCGCGACCTGTGACCGCGGAAACTTCTCAATACTTTCCTCTCCGACGTACTCCACAACCTTAACGTCCCGTCTTCATATCCCACAACAACATACCCCTTCCTCTTATAGAAAGAAGCGCAGGCAGCTCTCGTCACGCTCCGTTTTTCTCCAGTCACTTCGGAAGTTACACTTCTTGCTTCAACGTCCCCTGGGCTCTGGCTCTCCGTTTCGAACTCGCCTTCTAATCGAACCATCTTCGTCTCCTTCTCAGCAGATTGTGTGAAAACTGTTACTTCTCCCCTGGACGAGTCCCCCACCTGACATCCATACACTTCACCCCTGGAACCTATGCCGACTTGAATGTCTCTGCAACTGTCACACGGGAGGACAATCTGCTCTACCAACCTTCCATCGGCTCGCGTGACACACTCACTCACAGGCAGCACCCACGGCCGTGGTGCGTATCTCTTGATTTCTTCCAAGATCTTTCGCACACAACCTGAATCCCGTGCCTTGTGCTTCACTCGCCCATACAGTTGAAAGTAAATCCCAGCACTACTTTCACCACAAAATGGTACACTCAGTCGCGCAGCCCGCATCATCAAAACCATTGTATCCACTGCATCCTCATCTACCCGTCCCATTCCCACCATCCCGCTCCCTCTTTTTCGCTTCAAGTCTCTACTCAATCCTTTCACAGCTTCCTCGTACTGCCAAACCCCGCCTCTCCGTATCACTGTCTTCACCCATCGCCCACTCAAAAATAGTCTCTTCAGCTCCTCTATACACCCACCCTGTTTCAGAACACGGTATATGTTCTCGAAAACATACTCCTCCCGTGCGCTCTTGCCCTCTCCGTCTCGGCCCTCACTCATTGCAAGCAACCCTCCTCCTGCCCTGCATACATCTGTCATATTCTTGCACCACTTCTCTACACCCTCCTTCTTCTTCGCTTCTTCCACCGCGAAATCGTGCGTCAGATCATGCACCCGCAACCTACCACAACCCTTCTCATATTGCAGTTCCACTAATCCAACCCTTTCCATCTGCTTTGCACACCATTCCGTCCAATCCTCGTCCAGCTCCCACAAATCTCCAACCAAACTCAAAGGTATCCGGTCTTGCTTCTTCATAACGCACAGACTCCGGTGCATCTTTCGAAACGAAAAATCACCAACCGTCTCCCCACTGCTCCCCACATTGCACTCCAGGATATCTAGTGACGTATGCAATGTCCCATCCAACGACGAATATCCGTCCCTCGGACTCTCCCCGCGAATCGTGTTACGCCTCTTCATCCTCGAAACGTACTCCCCCCATGCTTCTGACACTTCTCCCTCCCATCTTTCCCTCATGTACCTCACACTCGTTCCTGCCACGTTCAGGGCAAGCGGCAATCCGCCACACATTTCCAGTATTTCACTCACGGCCTCTTTGCATCTTGCATCATCTACTTCCTCTCGATTCGCCTCGCCAATACTCGCGTGCACAAGCATGTCAACTGCTTCTTTCCCTTCCGTCTCTCTCGGCTCGAAAGAAACCTGCTCCCCAATCTGACGCAGCTCCCTATCCCTCGTGGAGTACAGTAGTCTGCTCGTCCTTTCCCCGCTGCCCCCCGCAGTGCCAGTCAGAACAGACAACTTTTGAAGGATGTTTGCGTCTATATCATTCACGACCCACACATCATCAACGATGAACAGGCACACATGACTGTAAAACCACGCGTGTACCCTCGCTAACACCCTTTCAAACTCGCTCTGCTCTCGCATTTCCGCAGCCGTCTGGATGCCGCCGGACGTTTCCACAATCACACAAAGTTCGTCAATCAGACGTCCCACGTTTCCGTCTTTCCCCAGCGACATGAAGTACACTCCTCCCGAAAACTCCGCCTTAATCTTATCGTCGTGCGCGATCGCTCGTAGGGCACACGTCTTCCCGACTCCGCCCTGTCCCACTGCTGTCGCACCCACTTGCTCGTTATTATCTCTCCGTAGCACAGCCGCTTTTAGACGCGACTCACACGTGTTCGGCAATCCATCGCTCCCTTGAGAATCAAGCTTCACATATATCGACGCAGGATTACGTTCGGCTCTTATTGACGCCCTGAACACATCACCCGTGCCTCGTCTGATCGATTCGACGGCTGCGCGAGTCGCGCGAACATCGATGCCCGTGCTTGCTTGGATAATACGATCGTGAAGGTGGCACGCTTCTTCCTTGCGCTTCTCTAGAACTTCGCTATCTCTCATTGCACAGGCGAACGTACGGAGTCTCCCTTTTGGGTGCTTGCGCTTCCCTAGTACTTTTCTATCTCCCACTGCAGAGGTGAACGGACCGAGTCTCGCTTTTGGGTCGTCCGACTCTTTCTGCAGCTCAGCGAGGGACTTCCATATGAAGCTCGAGATGTCCGCGACTTCACGTTGGAGCAAGCCTGTGTGCGACGACGTTCCTTGGATCGGCATGTCTTTCAGTGCCGTGATGTCTGCCTGCAAGGTGGTGTAGGCGGCGAGCATTTCGGTACAGAGCGTTTTGTTTTCCTTGTAGGCTTTGTGTCGTTCGATGAGACTTGCGATGAGGCGGACGATTTGCTCAACCGGGCCGGTGAGGCCCAAGATGCTGTACGGATCAGCCATGATGTTTGGGAATAGGGGGTGTTGTTCGGATTTGAATAGGCGGCGGTGGCAAAGCGGCACTTGCTCTTCTCTATATCTCCCTCTCTCGGAATCTGTTTATCTCTTGTCGTTGTCGGTCGTTGGTAGTCGTTGTCTTTCGTTTTTGGTCTTCTCGCAGAGGGGGCGGGAAAGGTATGCTTGCTCGCTTGGCGTTGCGAATAAACGCAGTACATTCAATGGCCCACAGCTATTTTAGGGCATGTGCCCGCTTGATGGTGAATTTTGGAGTGATTTCCTACATTCCTCAACGGAGAGGGCGACGGTTGTGTGGATTGGTGCTGCGGTGTTGGCACACCGCGAGTTTAGAAAGGCTGCTCTCGCGACGCACAAACAAGATTTTTTCTCGCCAGCAACGACAGCTCCAAGGGACTCCAGGGAAGCGTATGATACAGAGCTGGACTCCAGGGGCTAGTCCATCGGTATTACAGTATTGCAACGAACGACGATGCGAGAACAGTACCCTCGCGGAGGGCACGTATCCCGCCAGAAGGTTCCCCCAAGTCGAGTCATGCGCCGAGTGGGCAGCTGGACTTGTTGGACACCGTCGCGGCATGAATCGGTCTGAGCTGGGATGGACAAGACAGGAAGCTTGCCCACACGCAAAGTGACGCGCGACTGTCTCAGCCCATTCAGTGCCGTGCACCCGGCAGAGACGGCGCAGGTCGCCGAGAGACCCTAACACAGGGACGGCCGAGCAATGAAGCACGGAATCGGGCGTGTTCCCCCCGCTCTAGGCACCTGGCACCAGGCACACCCTCCTTCCAACCTCGCTCCCCATCTCTCTGGCACCCCTGTCGCCCGTCCTTCACACCGAGTGCCCTCGCACTGTGCTTCTGGCGCCATGCGATGCCGTCACCTGCCTGTGCCTCTGCCTCTGTGCAGGCACGTTCACGCCCCCGTTCGCCGCGCCGTACATTGAGATTCGCGTCCCGCTTGAGCCGACGTTGCAATGTCCAACACTCCGGGACACTCTTGCACAACGAGCGGGCAGTCTGAGAAGCAGGGCGTAGTGAGACCACAAACTCGCGCAAGCTATCATTGGTTGGGAACATGCGTAAGCGGTGCCGCGGTAGGGAGCGGGATTCTATGGCAAAATTTGAAGAGATGGGGGAGGGGTGGAACGGTGGCAGACTTGGCAATAGAGAAGGGGGGGAAATTGGTGAAGGCGGGAGGAACCCCGCGACTTGAATAAACAGAGCGTCTGTCGGGGTCCAACGACCATGTACAGTGCGCGAAACTGCAATAAATACACCATCGACGAGAAACTTCTGGTGGGGTCTGCTCGAAGTTGCCATGTATGCGGGGCAAGCACGCGCCGATATTAACACCTGTCAGAGTCGCATTCAGGAGAATACGTCCCAATAATGGCCCTGGGCACCAGAGTCTGTGACCCAGAGCCATACAAATTTGGTCCCAATTACCAGGGCTCATGGCTCCGTAAAGTCCTGGTTGACAATTGATTTTTCTGATATTCGCCTCAAACGGCACTCCCATTGGTCCCGGTGGTGGACCTTGTTGGATCCTGCAAGCAAGGCCTCAATGATGGAATATTTCCATCCACCCTTGATCGAAGCTGTAATGCGATCCGGCATCTTTGAAAAGGTTGATGAATGTTTCTGAAGTTTCAAAACTCGGGCAAGTTAAGACCCTCCCTGAAGGAGGGTCTTAACTTGCCCGAGTTTGCCCGGGTTTGCTTGCCGGAGCCATGCTTTGCACTACTATTGGCTACTGGGCGTTAATATATGATTTGAAACTAAGTACGACCCTACACTGCAAGCTCAAGTTATGTCAGTGTGTAATGACAAATGTCAATCATATATTGGCTACTTTTGTAAGTTTGTAACTTTCGAATTTGGACGCTGTGCTCCGGTGGACGCAGTGCTTGCCCCTTGCCGAAAACATCCTCAACTCCCCCTTTGCAAAAATCTATGCACCTGCCATCTCGCAAAGGCAACCCAACTCTACGAAGCACCTCTCTGCCTACTACTTTCCTGAAAATGACTTCCACACCTCAATGCCACGTGCGCCGTTCTCTGCGCCTCTGGCGCATCTCTCCGACACCCAGCATTCGGAAGACGGGGACCACCAACGCAAAGTCTCTCACTATTGCTTCCTCGTCTGCAGCGGGTGTTTCTGACCAAATACTATCCCCGCCTGTTACAATCAAACTGTTTCAGGCGGGTGAGAACGCTCCCACTCCAGTCTCTGGGGCATTCGTTAAAAATCAAGCCGAAAGCCTACATGGATTTCAAAGTCAAGAACATGACGTTAGCGGGCCCATTAGTGAGGACAAAGATGGTAGTGGAACGCAGAAAGGGGTAGAAAGTCTCACAAAGGTCTTTACTTTTTTGTCAGGTCTTCGAAAAGATGATTTGAGGAAAATGCGGAGATTGTGGGGTCTCAGATCGGCCGGGAACAAGAAAGACCTCGTCTATCGAGTTTTTTTGTTCCTGAAGGACTGTAATGACCGCCGTCTAGATGTGTGTGGGAAGATGGCAACGAACTTGCACTGTCCCAGCTTCGAAAAGTTCCAAGACGCCCACAAACGGGCATGCCTTGACTGGAAGGCACCTCCTAGTGTCGAGCACATGAAAAATGCCCTGAAGGGCACTGGGGACAAGTTTGGCACTACGGACAGGCCATTGGGGCGATCGGAAAGAAATTGCGTTCCGGGTCGCGGTGAGGAGGATGAGGAGACGCCGTCGGACCCTAACTTTACCCTATCTGAGTTTTCGCGACTTGTAGTCCTGATGCGCGACGATGAAAGGGTCCGGTCGTCACTCTATCGGCTGGGGCAGGAGTTGAGGAGGTCTGAACTTGACTCAGGTGTCTCGAGGGATTCGTTTTGGGGAATAATAGAGGGAAGGTTCAACGACTCATCCGTTTGCGTTCGATTTTCATTTGAGGGACATGTGGAAGACGCGGATCCCGCTGCAGCGCCTCTATGCCACAGGAGCGCTGATTGTTTAAAGAATCATTTTAGGGATGCTAAGTCTGTGTTTACTGCAGCTTTGGACAAGTGGATGCCGTCAGGTCAGAACGATCCTGAAAGGTTCGTGGACTTTCTGTCGAGGAATGGAGAGGTTCTGTATGCAAGCTCAAAACGCGCATTAATTATGTTTGTGGTGGCCCGGCTCGGGACACCTTTTGAAGATACATTTTTTGTAGAGATGTCCAGCAAGGCCATGTTAGACGGAGGTTATGAGGCGGGGATGAATGCATCGAGAAGGGAAAGGCAAGAGGAAGAAAGAGAGGCTGAGAATGCCCAAGCTGGAACAGATTTGAGTCGAAAAAAGAGAAGGAGCAGTGCAGAGATCGCGGAGATTGTCGAGGGGCAAATCGACAAGATAGGACAGGTCGTTTCCAGCATTTCGGCCCCGAGTGTCCAGAACGTTGTGTCAACAAGTACGAAACCGCCGGTGAATGGCGTTATTTCGGCCTGGCAGGAAAACAACTCAATGTTTAATATTGTTGAGTCTGCACTACAGGCGTACGAGCGCGCTAAAAAGATCCCCGACAACGAGGCGTTCTTTGAAATCGCGCTCGCACGGTATAAAAAGGCATTGAATGCCTACAAAAGCATGTTTGGTGACGATTCGGGACTGTCTGGACAGGTGTAGATAATGTTACAATTGTTTAACGAAGCTTTATTGTGATTCGACATTGTTTAGCAATGAGTAAATGGACTCAATCAGCCTTCGCGATAGCAATTTAGAACAGCTCCATCGCGCGTACCGAGTTATGCTCCACTCTTGCGCCTTCGGCGGCAACCACACTATAGAGCGTGCAGTCCACACCAGGCCGAAGGTGACCCAGAATTTCAGCGCCGCCGGTTCGCTCGCCTGATAGTTGACAGGGTCGTCGGCATCCCTTTTGCTACTCCGCCGTCTCCGCGGTGGCGTAAGCGGTTGGTTTGTAGCATCAGAGCGTCCGCTCTTCTTCTCCTCGCTCGCCGGGCTGAGGCGCACTTTGGAAGGACTACGCGGCGGCCTCAAGTTGGCGCCAGACGCCTCGTTCTCGACCTCAAACGTGATCTGTCGTTGCAGGCGCGTGCGCGAGCGGGTCTGATACGGCTCGCTGTGCGGAGTAGAAGGCCTCCTCCTCATGACGTTCCCGCTACCCGGCGTCGTTTCGAGGGTCTCCACGGCCACTTCCGGCTCGTCGAGGAGCTCCTCCTCCTCTTCCTCCTCCTCATCGTCTCGCAGCGGCCTCTTGTTCTCGATGTCGATGGCGTAGAGCAGCTTGACGGTGGTCCACGCGGGCCTAGCGATGGAGAGGAGCAGACCCGTGGCGCCGGTGGCCTGGGCCATGACGAGCGCGCCAACGCCGCGGTGGAAGAAGAGGACGGCGGCGGCGAACAGCAGGTGCCGCAGCGCGGCCGCGGCGAGGCGCGACTGGCCGCGCACGGCGGCGATGGCGGAGCGGTACCGGGAGCTGACGGCGGCGGAGGCGCGCGCGGCGATGCGCGCGGCGGCGGCCTGGGCGCCGAAGTGGCCCTCGAGCGCCAGCAGCGCCAGCAGCGCGAAGGCGACGGCGGCCTCGGCGGCCAGCGCGCGCGCAGGCTGCGCCACGAAAAAGGGCCACAGGAACGAGAGCAGCGACGAGAGCAGGGGCGAGAGCAGCGAGTAGAGGGAGAGGAGGAGGGAGAGGAGCGGGCGGAGCAGGTGCAGAAAGAGGCGTGCGTAGAGGTGGCAGAGGGACAGGGTAGAGAGAAGCGCCTCGCGGAAGAGAAGCAGCACGTCGGCTAAGTAGCGCCGCGACTGCCGGTACACCAGCCGCCCGGCTTCCAGGTACTCCATGGTTGGGCAGCGTAGGCGGGGTGCTGGAGGGGGTGGGGACAAGGCGGGGGTCGGTGAGGTTGGTAGGCAGGGTGTGTGTTTGCGGGACGCTGGGCGAGGGGGGGGATGCTGACAACTCGTTGGGACTCGGAAGGCAAAACACTTGGTCTTGTGCATTTTTGA